ACTTATTGTGTAGCCAGATCTGGCCTTGAACTCCAGATCTCTGCCCCCCTCCCCAAGGGCTGGAATTGAATCCAGGCATACATTATCACACCTGGCTAAATGATCCTTCCTTCCTTCCTTCCTTCCTTCCTTCCATCCTTCCTTCCTTCCTTCCTTCCTTCCTTCCACTTTTTGAGGTAGGGCCTCACTCCATAGGACAGGTTAGCAATCCAAATTGCCAGGTTTACAAGCATGTGTCACCTCTGCTGTCCTCCCTCCTTTATCTCTAACTTTTATACTGTCCTTAGTTGGCTCTGTGACAGCTCAGAAGTCCATATAGTGCAGCAAATAAAGGGGGGAGGGGTTGTCTCTGGCAAACAGGATGGCAAGATTCTGGATATGAGGGCACAGCCAAGGCTCAAGTTCCCTGCATGGACACTTTATAACATAGTTCTGAGATAACTACCCTGAACATATTTCAGTGGCCCTGGGGACATTAGTAATGTCAAGGCATAGGATACTGTATAAGCAGTTGGATGGTGCATACTTGTAATCACAGCATTTAGGAGGTAGAAACAAGTAGATGTCTGTGATTTTGAGACCAGCCTGAGCAACATAGTGAATTCAAGGCTAAACTGGACTTTGTGAGACCCTGTCTCAAAAACAAAACAAAACATACAAACACACACACAAAGAAAAAGCAAATACGGGCAAAAGGCAGAGGCAGGCAGATCTTTGTGAGTTCGAGACCAGCCTGGTCTACAAGAGCTAGTTCCAGGACAGCCTCTAAAGCCACAGAGAAACACTGTCTCAAAAAACCAAAAATAGAAAAAGAAAGAAAGAAAGAAAGAAAGAAAGAAAGAAAGAAAGAAAAAGAAAAGAAAAAGAAAATAACAAGAGCAGTTTGTTTTCTCCCCCTTATAAAATAGTTACTACAAGGATAGACTCTGCAAAGGAACACTTCTTCCAGTACTTGCCACCTTGTTCCAGTGCTTAGGACCATGCCTGGAAACTGAATGAATAAAAGAAGGTTCTGTTGATCCTCCAAATCTTAGCACCATCGTGAGGCTTGCTGCTCCTCAATGGATTGGTCATTCTTTGCTGTTGGCTCCCACAGCGTACCATGATGCTCTAATCATCACAGTGATTTCATGAACCACAGGGTCCACTGACTTCTTAATTTCCCCTTCTATGCCCTGGCCTGTGTTGAAGGCATCAGCTGAGGACCCAGCACAGTGCTTGGCCTATGAGAAACCTGAAATAATGATGATAATAAGCTTTCACTAAGTCTGTGATGAGGTAACTAGGGTCATTTACCTACACCTTATGTCTGAGCACATATGACATTTCATCTGCTCTCCCGTGACATGGGTGACGACATTGAAGGGACTAGCTTCCCTTTTGGCAGCAATAACGGCCAAACACGTGCTTCTATGACCTTGTCCTAGACACTAGAAAGTCAGATGCCTGTCTTGTGACAAAGAAACAATCACAAGTTAGCTGGTGGCGCTATGCTTTACGACCCTGGGTGTGCTTTATGGACAAGTGCACCGCAATGACGCACAAAGCATACAGACAAACCACCCTGGGAGGGCCTATGGGCCATAACAACCAGTTGACCAATCAACACAGGGCAAGCCCTCCAAGCCTGGAGGCACACCAATCCTGAACCTGTGCATACCCCTAGACATACCCCTATAAGATATGTATGCAGCGGCTTCGAACTGTCTTTGCTAGCCATCCGCCATGGTGGGTGGGTGAAAGACCCGAGCTAACATGGGGGTAGCTCGTTAACTTACATAAAGCCTCATGCAATTTGCATCAAGCTTTCGCCTCCATTCTGTGATTGGGGTGGCCGAGGTCCTGGGCTAAGATTCTGGAAGCCTGGGCTTTCTGAGGGTCTTACACATGACATGTCCTTCCGTGATGTGGGCAAAGAGGAGTGTGGAGCTTGATCCTCTGAAGGGACTCAGCAAACATTCATTTATCCTTTTCTCATTTGAATATATGACTGGTTGACACAGCTCAGGGAGGCTGAGAATAAGTATCAAGTTTAAAGAGAATCTCAATGTAGACCATGTACCCTGGGATCCTGGCCAAGATCTGTCCAGTCTCAAGGATGTCCCTCGCATCTTTTTTCTATTGCTACACACTTCACCGTAAGTAGTTCTTGCCATCCAGAGGTGCAATGATAGCACTAGTTTTAGCACTTTTGAGGAACCTGACAGACTCCATTTTGAAGGCAGGAGTCACTTATGTTATATTGTTAAAAATAAGTTCCTATTTACTGTAAGAGCTGAGTTGCTCTGTTTCCAGGAACCTGACCTTCCCTAACCTTTGATTCTGACTTGTTTTTGAGAATACCCTTACCCTCTGTGACCCTCCCTGAACCTTCCCTGAACTGTCCCTGAACCTTTCCTAATCATGGTGACCACATGATGTTTTGTTTTGTTTTGTTTTTGAGATTTCTTTTTGTATTTCCTCATTGGCCCATTGTCTCTCCTCTGTAAATCTATTCATGATTTTACTCCTTAAAAGGAGCCCAAGAAATGGATTCAGGGCTGATCTCTATAATCTGACTTAGGAGGCAGTTTCTAGTCAACTCTTGAGTGCACCCCAATTTTAAAAATCAAGCTTGCTTTAAATTTGGCTCCAATTGTGGTAGTGGTCTTATTCTCCACGTTGGGGTTAGCACTTTCTGCTTATCAGTTTGAAGTTCCAAATCCCAGCACTTGCTGCTCATCTCCTCAGTATGGCCCCAGTTCTGGTGAAGGCCCACTTGTCTGTATCACATAGCGGCAAATGACATCATCAGAGGGAGAGATCACGGGAAACCAGAACAGGGGTCAGGGGAAGGGCCAGTCTTATTTTTATAACTGCCCACTTAGGAAGAACTAACCCAGCGTCCCCCAAGATCCTTCCAAGGGCAATAGTTCCAATACCTATTGTCTCCCCTTGTTTCGTGTTTCGTGTCTTAACATCACTACATGGAGACCATGCCTCTGACATGTGGAACCACAGATGGACACACATAAGCAAACAAACAGAGGGGGAGAGGAAACTAGGAGAATGAGAAGGGGAGAAGATGAGGGATGCAGAGGACATGAGGGAGCAGAAAGGCGGAGTCAGGGGAAGAATAGATGATAACAAGAATGGAGATACCATCATAGCGGGAGACATTTTAGGCTTACAGAGAAATCAGGTG